TCATGTAGTGTAGAAGCAAACTTGTGTAATCCACCCCTATGGAATTGAATTCCAAAAGAAGAATTTTACATTTACATGACTTTCTTTACAAAAGGCCTTTCATATGGAGAAGAATGCCAAATCAACGAACAGTGCATTTTTATTGGAGGAGTTTGTTCAAGAAACAATACCTGCGCCTGTAAAAATAACCAAATTTACAATGCCGAGGAGAAGATTTGTTACGAAGGTTAGTCCTACTGAAAAACGATTTGCTTTAGTACGAGCACTATGAACTGTATTCAAGATCAAAAATCCATGAAACAATTAAAAATAGGAACAAAGCAAACATGGACCTTCAAAACATCAGAGATGGGATCAGGTGTCACGGAGGACTTAGCATCCCTTGCAGATTGGTCATAAACGCACACTGTGAGCATTTGACTCAATACATTGTATCTGCTGACAAGGTCATTGTGCATGTATCGGCCATAGAACTTACGAAATGATGACTTTAAACGAGAATGCTGATATTCTTGTTCCATCAACCAGTTTGTCAATACCTCGTTTTAGAAAACCCTCAAACATAAAGCATGCTCTTGTGTATTCTTTATAAAAATAAATATATCCTTATAAAAACAATACAATCCTATATACTGATGTACCGGTATTTTTTATTACTTTTATTATCAACAAATTTTGCATTCAATATTAATTTTTTCTGGGATGATATAAAGCTGTGGTATTCGTCATTTTTCTTCAGGAAACGAAGAGCTGTCATCAGACAAAGGTACATTCATTTATGTTGAAAATTAAGAGGTCTGTATTTTAAATTCTTAATATTAAGATATTGGAATTTTTCATTATCATGTAATTAAATTGAGTGTTGGGACTGATTTTACAATTTCAATATAATGCTAAACTTTTTAATTTACCTATACTTAAAACATTTTGAAAGAAGATATTTTGCACTATTGCTTATTTTAACTAATATTTGTAATTGTATTATTTTTAATTTTGGTGTGTTTAGTAATTTTTGTAAGGAAAGTCATATTTTTATTGTTTTGATTTTTGTTATTAAGGACAGATGATACAAACAATTATTTTTTTCTTTGGAGGAGACTCAATATCATGCCACAAGTTCAGAAAAGTGGATATTTCTTAGAATTTTTTCTCCAAATGACTGGAAAATGAAATAGGCTTGGAAAATATTAGTAATATTTCAATAAAATTACAAATATGGACAAAACACACTCAAGTAAGGTTTACCGTAAAACCGGAAGTGCGATGAAAAAAATTTTTAGAATATGTTATTTTGGCGCTTAAAGTGTAATATAAACTTTAAAAAAGTATACCAAGCCAGGTGAATTTTATGACGAAAAGCAAAATGGTAAAAATTAGCTTATATGATATTGCTGAATTCTTGTCATTTTGTTTATTTTCTACATGAATGAGTCTACTCTGCTCTGTTTTTTGCAAATATCAAAACAAAATGTTTGTTGTTAATAAACATTTATTGTAATGCCAAACAAAGTAACCAAAATGTGTACAAAAGTTACATATGACCATATCTGTATTTTATACTTTATAAGGATAATAATATACATAAGGAAAAAATACAAATACATGTATGACTAGAAGAATTTGGAAAAAAGATGGGAGAACAAACACACCACAAACTTGTCGATATCTAACAAGTTATGGCCAAGTGGCCCTTTATTTATTTGAACGTTATGATATGTTTCCTTTAGTTGAAAAGATACTTGGTGCTGCAGTAGGATCTGGTTTTTCTGGTTTAATAATTGGTCTTTTGGTTGGCCTTATTACAATGTACCTTATTCTGAAAAGATTTGGACAGGATAACAGGTACGTTTAAATTATGAAAGGGTTGTAATATTATATCCCATGTTTACCGATTTATCATGTGTTTATCCATTGAATTTAGATTTTATATTCCGCAGTTCTTACGTTACATTAGGTTTAGAGTGATAGTGATGAAGTAATTAGTAAAGTAAAATCCTTCGTAGATCATAGATAGTGATAGATAAAACCTGAAATAAACAAAATCACGTGTTATTCCTGTTTGATATGATTTTTCCTCTCACTGGCTTCCGTATGAGTGAAAAATCATCGAGAGGGACGTTAAAGAACATACAATCAATAAACTAACCCATCACTTACAACAAGAGGCCCATTGACCACATCACTCAACTAAGCATTGTGGCTAGGGAAAAAAAAGAAAAATTAATCCAGTTTTGAAAAGCTAAAATGCATGTGGTCTTAACTGTAAACATACCCCTAAAGGGCAGAAGGAAGGCTGATTTGAATTAACTTGAACGTGCTAAGGATGCTTACATATTTCTTTGACTTACTGTGGCCTTTCCCCCCATAAGTTTAAACTTTCATTTTTGCAACTCCCTACCACGGGGTGTCATGATTTAAAGAATTTTTAATCTATACTACCTGGGGTTGAATCAATGTAGGTATGACCACTCATGGCTTTGCTGTTCCTGAGAAGAATATTTTTCACGAGTTTCCCATATATTCTTATGTCAAACTTTGATCGTCCATTGTGGCCCAAACCTACCCCCAGTGGTCATGATTCGAAGAGATTTGAATCTACACTACCTGAGGTTGCTTCCATATAAATTTGACTACTCATGATTTTGTTGTTCTTGAGAAGATCTTAAAAGATTTTCCTAAATAGGAGGGTTTTTCGGAAAGTTCGTCGACTAGTGTAATAAAATTAAAACCGCTTAAGATATATAATTTAATTCTTCTATGTTCAGTTCTCATCATCTTTTTAATTTTTTAAAAATAAACTATACATCGTAAGTTTTCTTTTTCAATAAATTATTGATGTTTTTGAAAGCAATGATATGTCCAGTCGGCGCAAACTCGAAGATTACTTTTTTCAACCTAAGTGCGACTGAGAAAAAAGTTACTTTTTTAATGAGCATTGTCATCCAAATATTCAGTTAATTCTGTCATGTAGTATAACGCAATTGTACCGTTAACTTGCAATTTTTACCCTATTCTGTATGTTTTATGAAATTTAATCGTAAATTTTATGTGAAAAATCCAAACAATTAAGGGGGTTTAATGACGTCAGAAAGGGGGTAGGTTTCTTCTCTTAATATTCTATAAAGTAAATATATTACTATAAAGTAATAAAGTGCATTCAAAGTACTTGTTTTTAAATGCCGAAAAAAAGATTAGAAAGACGATAGATGTAAGAGTTAATATCGATTTATTGTAAGGGTGTTCAAAGTTTGTCCCGTCGAAAAGTGACGTTGAGCATAGATAGTGATAGATGTTGAAGTCCGACAAGCATATATGCTGATATAATAAAGTTAGGATCTTTCACTATGTATAGATCTACATGTTGTATTTACAATATTATATGCATAGAAATCAGCCGTTCATGACATTGTACTATCAAGTCCGGTTTATCTCTTGAATTAACTCCAAGGAATCTCATCATGATACTAAGTAAGTGAATGAGAAAGAAAATGTGGACCTCAAGAAACTATGACGTCATGAAACTAAATGGCGACTGCGCCGTGTGACCATATAATGTCTTAATTATTTAAAGTATCAAGGTACAATTTTCAGCATTTCTTTAACTTTTGTTGTTTAATGTTTCTTAAAAATTTTGCAAGCATAGAGTACATAGTATTAATTTAATTGCATCAGTCCACGAACTTTTCGAACATTCCTCGTATTTCAGTGTAAGACTTTGATCATCCATTGTAGTTACATCCTACCCCCGGAGGTCATGATTTGAAAAATTTTTAGTCTACATTACCTGAGGATGCTTCCATATAAATATGATCAATTAAGGCTTTGTTGTTCTTGAGAAAAAGATTTTCAAAAATACTTTTCCTGTATATTCCTATTTCAAAATTTGATCATCCATTTTGGCCCCACCCTATCCCCGGAGATTATGATTTGAACAAACTTCAATCTACACCAACTGAGGATGCTTCCATATAAATATGACCATTCATGGCTTTGTTATTCTTGAGAAGAAATATTTTAAAGCCTTTTCTTTTATATGAAAACTCACATATATTTGAACTCATAGCATATTTTGAGTATGATCATTGTTTTAACGAAAGTGGCTATACTGACTAAAATGTTGATGTTTATGTGTTTTTAGACTATATAATCAGCATCCAGCAATTTTCATTTTTGTTAGTGACAGCGTAAATAAAAAAAACGTCAATCGTAATCTGTCTGACATGTTCCGTACCATCAGTGTTTTGACTCTACATTATAACTATTGTTTACTTCTTTTGCCTAGTAAACTAATACATACATGTTATAATGCTTATAATTGAGCTGACCGCTTGAAAGTGGATTTCATCTGTCTAGACTGCTGATTCCGGCTTTTCCGTCCTAGGGATCCTTGTTTTTGATCTGTTCTTGTTTTCTATACTTAACTTGATTTAGTAAACAATTAACGGTTTGATTTTTTCATCTTTTATGTGTTGATATGTGAGAAAATAATAATATGTAAAAAAAAAAACTTGTGTTAGTGGAGATAGTCTGGTCCGATTTATAGAAAAAAAAAATACCTCTAATGGCAAATTATCATTGTTTGGTCCAGCATAGTTTTCAACCTATTTCGAGTATGCTGAATCCGAAAAAATATGCTGGTCTTCATGAAAATGGCGTTTAATAAGTCAAAATTGCGATTCAAAATTGCGGACATCAAATTTGTCTAATTTTCTCTTAATATCATTTAGAAAGGGGAAATAATGTGTGAATATCTCACTGAGTGTAATACAAGTATAAAAATGATAGCAGAATGCTGCCATTATTAGTTTAACTCAGAAAATTTAGTCGTTTTTATACTTAATTCGAATTTTCTCTGATTTTTTTGTCTATAGTTCTATATTCTGCTTTGTTCAGGATTTTACATCTGAAAACATCCATACACTGCAGATTTGTATTTTTCCTCTACATTTCACTATTCTTCAACTGAATGATGGTGCAGCTGTAAGTTAAGAGTCAATATAGCGATTAAAATGGCGTATATTAATTTTTGTTTCAAATTATTTCTTAATGTCGTTTACATAGGAGAAAGGATATGTAAATATTTTACTTAGGGTAGTACAACTATGTAAATTTCCAATAGAACACTAATATCATCACTTTAATTTGGAAAATTTAATCGTTTAAATTTGAAATGCGTTAATTAGCTCAAAATGGCGATTCAAAATGACGTAATATTCACTCGAATTTCGTAAAATACTCGTAAAATACTGCTTAATTCTGATTCGTTTTGCAAAAAATAAATTACATTTTTATATATATATATATATATATATATATATATATATATATATATATATATATATATATATATATATATATATATATATATATATATATATATATATATATATATATATATATATATATATATATATTGATTAGTCCATTAAATATTAACAAACAAAAAATACTAGAAAATATTCATTTTTTCTGGAAATAGTAAAAACAAACTCGACTTGAGAGTTTCCAAATTTCCCCCCTCGTATTTGATCGTGTTCCAAAGTCTTTGAGCACCTATCCACCTTAAATTACTCCTGAATCGCTGTCATTGTCAACTCGCACTTCTACTTCAACATCCCTCAGCACACAATCAAATATTATCATCGAACACTTTGTTCCAGCTTTTTAGCATTTATAAGAACTAAACATTTTTATTTCAGATTTATTTGCTAAATGTTTCAGTCTGTCTTCGGAATTTTGGTATAGTCAACACTCAAGTAAAATGGTGCCCCGTGTCAAGGATGACAACCCCCTTGACACGTAAAAGATCGTTTCTCTAGAGTTCGAAAAAGAGTAAGCTTACTGGGGGCCTCCAGAGAAACCAAAATCCTCCAAAATCCGATTATTTAAACTGATAGTCCGCCGAAACATGGCTTCAAAATTGCCGACTCTGAGTTTAACAATATACAATCAATCAATAAACACTCAAGAAACAACACATTTATGTTCAAATGTGAAAAGTCTATTTTTTTTTCAAAAACATTATGCAAAATGAACTAGAGGTACTGTGAGCAATTAGCTCACTAAATGATATCCCCCTTCTTCCATATGAATATAATGGCAGTGTCCATATTTTGCTATTGGAAATCTGTGTCGGATCAAAAAGTAAAATAAAAGGTGCACAATGGTAATATGTAATAAAGATTCTTTGAAAGTTTCATCAAATTTCATTCAGTGGTATGAGAGGAGTTGCGGATAAGAGATCGGTACCCAAAAGCGTAACAGACGCACGGACGGACGTACATACCGATTACTCTATACCCTCCCGCTTTTCAAGCGGGGTGGGGGTGGGGTATAAAAAAATCCCTGACATTCCAGATATGTAGCTATTTATTTCGTGACCGCGTATAGATTTGTTGTCTTTTAGGGTAGAAAGGTCATTCTATTAGCAAGAAAATTCTCAAACTTTATCATCTGGAATCACATTGTTTGCATATTTTGGTGAGAAGAGTTGTATAATTATGCAATTTAAGAGCGCCTGCAGATTCTACGTGGTTCCTATCACTTACAAACTTTCATACTAATAGGCCTAAGCCATTTTTGACTTCGATCTAGTCAACACTTCTCTTGACAACAAAGTTTTCTTGAACACTCCAAAACACTTTACAAGGCAACTTGGGCCACACTTCTTGGTTAGGGTAGTGTAAGGTTGTATCAAGAATCAAGGGGGGATTGAACACAAACATTTTCTTCTTTCATGTTTTGTAAATTTCAATTTTTTAAAATTTATATACACTGTTCAATACAAAATTCTCTATTCACAACGTAAAATATTTGAGAATGCAGTTGAATTTTTGACTGCGAATAACAAAATGCAAATGTAGGGATACAGAATCAGAGCTGGACAATCGAGAAAAATTATGGTTTACGTATATAATACTGATAATTCTTAATAAATATATTTATATTTGGATATCATAATATATCCAGATTTATATGATGTAACAGTTACTAGCCCTCTAAATGGTCGTGGTCCATCATTTTAAAAATCATACTAAGTTATGTTGCACTAGACCTTCCACATGAACATAAACATTTATTTTTTTTTCTACATTGGACTATGAAAAATAGATCAAGAATTTCCCACTACTGATATGATTTCGTAACCCTTGAACTACAATGTTCACTCGCCTTAATGCTCTGGGAAAACTGCTCTTGGGGTAGCTTCATTTTCATATTGTCCTCGATCAAAACAGCAATAAGTACATGGTACTATTAACTTTTTATATGAAGAAGCCTGGAGAGACAGATAATAGGTAAAATGTCTTCGGAATTGTCAAAAATTTTTATTAATAATAGAATTAAACAATAATCCGTGTTATAAAAATCCTAAGTCATTAACAAAAATATCCTCCAACTTCCATTGCATTTGAACATTATTTTATGAGAAAAAAAACAAACTGTAAATTTATTTTCTCGAATCAGAATTAAGCAGTTTGGGTATTTAACAAAATTCGAGTGTGTAAGATGTCATTTGAATTGCCATTTTGAGCTAATTAACACATTTCAAATTTAAACGACTCAATTGTCCGAATTTAAGTGATAATATCAGTGTTCTATTGTCATTTTACATGGTTGTACTACACTCAGTAAGATATTCACAAACCCTTTCTCCTATGTAAACGACATTAAGAAATAATTTGAAAAAGAAATGAACTTCCGCCATTTTGAATCGACATTTTGACTTTTAACTTGCATCATCATTCAGTTGTAGAATAGTGAGATGTAGAGGAAAAAACACAAATCTGTAGTGTATGGATATTTTCAAATGTAAAATCTTGAACAAAGAAGAATATAGAAACAATAGACAAATAAATCAGAGAAAATTCGAATAAAGTGTAGAAACGACTAAATTTTCTGAGTTAAACTAACAATGTTAGAATTCTATTATATTTTTTTTATAGTTTTATTACACTCAGTGAGATATTCACACATTATTTCTCCATTTTGAATGGCATTAAGAGAAAATTAGAAAAATTGGATGTCCGCCATTTTGAATCGCCATTTTGACCTATTTAACGCCATTTTCATGAAGGCCAGCATATTTTTTCGGATTCATCATACTCGAAATAGGATGAAAAACTATGCTGGACCAAATAATAATTATTTGCCGTTAAAAGTTATTTTAGCATTCTTTTTCAAAATCAGGACCAGACTAAGAGAATATTTTATTCGTCCATTTATCATAATCTATGTTGCCAATTTCACGAGTGGCATTTCATAACGCTAGTTACACAGTTAGAGCAGTTGAACTTAAACGAAACCATTAAGAACGAATTTGATTTAATTTTATATTTATTACTAATTATAATCATGTATGATGTATTTTAGGAACAATAGTGTAATGATGTCAGCACTGGATGATGTATCTTCTACAGATGATGGTCGTTGACACTTTAATGTATTAACTTGAATTACATCACATTTTTGTGGATAAAGATACTTTCTGAGGAGTGATTCGGTAATATAATGAAGTTGTGGTGATATATATCGATTTAAAAATTGCTTTTATTGCTTAGTTTAAAGGGCAAAAAATAAAAAATAAAACATCCAAAAATAATGTTCCTTTTATTCGTTTTTCTTTTTTTCCGCCCTCGCTTCGTGATCGGGAGGTCGTGAGTTCGAATCTCGGCCGCGACTGACCTAAGTCGATAAAAAATGGGTAGCAACTGTTCCTTCGCCATGCGCTCGGCACTTTGAAGTGAAAGTTGTGGGTCCTTCGGATGAGACCTTAAAAACCGAGGCCGGCAGGCGTTGGCACGATAAAGATCCCTCACTGCTCAATGACCCTGAGTGCCGAGTAAAGGTCAAAATTTGAAGCTCTTCACCGGCAAACGGTGACGTCTCCATATGAGTGAAAAATTCTCGAGAGGGACGTTAAACAATATACAATCAATCAATCAATCTTTTGTTCCGGTGTTAAACGTTGCAGTGACCCTACCAATACCCTGGAAGTCATCTATGATTTAAACAAAAGAAAAATAATCATCTTTGGCCCCAATTTGCAAACCCCATGAAAAATGGTTTCCCACGGCCTGTTGTTAAGAAGGATAGGACTAGGAACAGTAACGACACAAAGGATTTACAAATTTCTGTAGAGTAAATGCTAAGTAACATTTTTTCTGAGTAATTGTCAGATCATTAATTTAAATTTAAATTTGATTTTTTTTCTACGGATTTCCCGTTATTTCTCAATCATGACAAGAAGCACACGATGGGTGTGATCAGTTGACAAGGGATGCTAACTCCTTCATGGCACATTATTCAACCTCTGCTTTTAGTCTGTATCAGGTAAACAATAAGATACCTGGTAATAAACAGATTTGATATCATAATATGAAATCTTTATTGAGAACAAAAAACGTTAACAGTCTTTCAAAAAATAAGGATGTTGTAAAAATCAGTTTTATGCAAGTGATTAAGTTTTTTCCTTGGATTAGAAAAGAAAAACCAAACTAATAATACAATTTTTGAAGTACGAAATGAAACTAAGACATTTTCTTCAAATTCTGAAATATTGCACGAAATGTGCACTTTTTACGAAAACCTTTACAGTAGTATAGTTATATTTTTGTTTGATAACATGCTAATCCTTACAATATAAATGTAACAAAGAAATGAAGTGAAATGTAACTAAGTTTGATTTTACTAGAATAAAATGATACAGTTATGGAACATTCTCAATTACAACAAAACTCCTTGTTTATAGTTATTATCAACGTAAAAGTCTGTCCTTTAAGTTGATGTTACTAACTGCAAAGGTTCAATCATCAAATACTCGATACTCTTGCTTGAATTTTTTGTTTCTGAAAAATCTTAAAGCCTCGCTCAAGTCAATGATGTAAAATAAATTAAAAACTGAATAATTAATCACAAAAAAAAGAAGATGTTTTATAATTGTTGCAGTTTGACGAAGAAGAAAATTTTTACATTTTAAGTTTCAGAAATTTATTTTATTTAATTTCTACCTAGTTTGTTATACATTTGCTGATTACGGATCAATATTTAATTATACTTTCATATGATAGACCTGATATCTCACCTTTATCTTTTTCTTTGAGTAATGAACATTACGACAAATCCTGTTAAAACACCACTGATAAGTCTAGGAATACCAGTTGCCATAGCAATGCCAAGTACTTGTGCATCTAATTGATGAAGCAAAATTGATAAAAACGGTATTCACATTTTATTCCGTAGATCTTTCGGGTTTCAATAAAAAAAATTCCTTATTAGATAAGATCGAAATCGGATGATACATGTACATGTTTGTTCTTCTGTACATATCCTAGTAATTCAGCGTTAGATAGAAAACTTTTATCTAAAGAGGATACAGATAAATATATTTTCTTTATGTTTACTTGTCTGTTTATCTAGATCCGTCCGTTAGTATAGCTGTCTTTATGTCTGTCAAATAGTTCTTATTTATGTCCGTCTGTAGCACTTTCGTTTACACGCGATATCTTGAGAAGCCTTTCAGCTTCTGCAATGCAATTTTACATGACAACTAAGTATGGCCTTAAAAGGGGGCTAAACTAGACACACTAGGTTTATAAAGTGTTAACAATGTAGAGCGTGAAGTAAACGTGACATACAAATTGTATTTAATTCCTATCAATATGAAATTCCTCTATGGTCGAAGGAAAATTAAAATCGCTAAGCAAGTAAGATGTCCACAGTTCAAATCAAAATTATTTTTCTAATTTATTAAATGATCGTATTTACCATATGTTCTGTCGCTATTACCCCTGGTCTACAGACAGATAGTTAACCAACACACTGACAGATTGACAACAACAACTCTGGCTCAGTTGCATCAATGTATTATGTGCACAAGTGTGTGGTTAAAGATCTGTGATATGACTAAATTATGGTGAATTTGTAGAAGTAAACTAAGTGGCGTCTAACCACGTTAACAAATGGCGGGATTATATGCAACAATTTTACCAAAAAAACACAAAAGAGTTCACAAAAGAATTCTAACATGAAAAATCAATAAGTTAAGAGAGATAACTCTTAACACTTGACAGAACACTCCCCGCTTGATGACAACTCATCACTACATATTTACAGTAATAAGACATGATACATTCTAACATGGTAGAAGCAATACAAGTTCAGCTGTAGGTCGAGTGTACAAGGTAGCTTGTTCTTCACATACCACGCGTACCTCACACTTGCGAACTAAACCGTCGGAGGATGGGAAAGTCTTGTGAATGTCCCCTAACGGCCAATCATTCCTTGCTGTCTGGTTGTTTCTGACTAAAACAACATCACATTCACACAAGTTTCTCTAAGGTTCATGCCATTTCTTCCTCTGTTGACGTGTCTGTAAATACTCGGCTTTCCAGCGGTGCCAAAATGTGTCGGCCAGGGCTTGCACTCGTTTCCACACCTTTCAGAAAAGGTCTTTACCAACAAACGTTTCTGTGACAGAAGTAAATAAATTTGTTGTGGTTTCTGCGTAAGTAGCAGTGATGGCGACAACGGTACAGGGTTTTCTGCATCTGTGGTGAGAGATACCAGTGGTCTTGTGTTCATTATGGCGGGCACCTCAGCCATAAAGGTTGAGAGAAGTTCATGAGTAAGGCCTGTCCCAGGAACATGTGTTAGAAGAGAATCTAGGATCCTTCTTGAAATTCCAATGACCCTCTCCCAGACTCCACCCATGTGAGACGCATGGAGTGGGTTGAATAGCCAAGTACATCCTTGGGAGTACAAAAATTGCTTCACACTGCTGTCCTCTACGTTGATAGCATTGATGCCAAGGTTGTCAGCTGACCCCACAAAGTTCGTTCCTCGGTCAGATCGGAAAAGTTTTACTGGTCCCCTGATTGCCATAAATCTTTTCAAGGCGTTTATAAAAGCTGAAGAACTCAACTCCTCCACTATCTCTATGTGGACTGCACGAATAGTCAAACACGTGAACATCACTGCCCATCTTTTGCTGCATGCTTGCCCTCCTCTTGTCTTTCTGGTCACAACTTGCCATGGGCCAAAACAATTCACCCCGACATTAGTAAATGGCGATCCAGGTTCCAGTCTGTCTGAAGGAAGGTCAGCCATCTTTTGGAAGGGTGGAAGCTCGAATCCTGGCAACTCGATTGGCTACGTATGTGTAAAATCTTCTCGTATCATTTTGAATGTATACCAGCACCACCTTGCTGTCGGTGTAGAAAGTAAAGTCTTTGATGTGAAGATCTAGATGAGTAGCAATGGATTCTGCTATCTCAAGTTCTGCATCACAAAGCTCTAATCTGGGTGTGGAATGACCATGCTTCGGTGTGACCTTCGAATTGCCAAGGATGAAGCCGATTTCTGTTCTTCCTTCTTGACTCCGATTTACAAGGTATCCCACAGCAGCAACTGCTTGTTCCGAGGCATCTAAAAAGATATGTACTGATTTGTTGCATGTAGTTGTCCATGACATTGGAAGGTAAGTGCGAGAAATACTCAAACCATGCAAGTCTTTCAAAGAGTTGACCCATGATTCCCATGTCGCTGAGTACTTCAAAGGTAAGGGTTCATCCCAATCATTTGTACATCCCACTAATTGGCGCATCAGGAGTTAACCATCAATGATATGACGGGAGCCAAGAATCCTTAGGGATCAAAAATGGAGTTGATTGTGGAAAGCACGCCTCTTCTTGTGAATTGTTGCTCTTCGGTTGAGATATGGAACAAGAAGGCATTTGATTCCAGATTCCCAAGAAACACCAAGAGTACGCTGGACTGGCAGTATTTCGTTACCAAACTCCAGGTTCTTTAAATCCTTCGACAGGTCCTCATGTGGAAACGCTTGCATGACTTCTTCTCGGTTTGAGGCTATCTTGTGAAGTCTCAAGTTTCCCTCAACTTTCAGTGCTTTCTGTGTCCTCTGAAGTAGGTCTATGGCCTGTTGAACTGTAGGTAATGATTTAAGTCCATCGTCGACATAGAAGTCTTTGCACACAAAGTCACTAACATCTGCACCAAGATGACTCTGATTCACTGCAAATCTAAGGCCATACGTCGCTATTGCTGGAGAGGCAGTGTTACCAAAAACATGAACACACATGCGAAATTCGACAAGTGGTTTGTGGAATTAGTTTCCTTCATGCCATAAAAATCTAAGGTAATTGCGGTGTTCCTCACTGACCATAAAGCAGTAAAACATTTGCTCTATGTCCGCAACAATCGCTACTGGTTCCTGTCTGAAGCGAAGTAAAACTCCTAATAGACTATTTGTTAAGTCTGGACCGGAACATTCAATGAAACACCATTATGCTTCACAGCTGAATAAAATACCACGCGTACTTGATCTTTCTTCCTAGGGTGGTAGACACCAAAGATAGGTAAAAACCAGCACTCCCCTCCTTCTACCCGGGGCGGCGCTTTTTCAGCATGGCCTCT